TACTGGGGAAGCCAGAGCAACTTGTCCAAGACAAGGTCATGGAAGCTCCATAGGCATATCCAAACTCCCTGAGGGACTGAATTAGTGGGCTGAGGGCTATGGGGAACATGATCTCAGGGAACGTCTAGTTCAATTGGCATAACATAGTTTATAAAGAAAATGTTCTACATTCTACTTTGGTGAGTAGCGTCTGGGATATTAATAGCTTGTGAGCGGCCATCTAAGATACTTCACGGGTCTCACCCCTTCAGGAGCAAGAGAAAAGGGAGAAAATCGAAGACACAAGGGAAAGATTATCCCAAAGAACTAATGGACCACAACTACCACGGCCTCCACCAGACTGAGTCCAGCACATCTAGATGGTGCCTGGCTACCACCACTGACTGCTCTGACAGGGATCGCAATAAAGGGTCTCATACAGAGCTGGAGAAAAATGTAGAACAAAATTCTAACTCACAAAAAAAGACCAGACTTACTGGCCTGACAGAGACTGGAGAAACCCCGAGAGTATAGCCCCCAGGTACCCTTTTAGCTCCGTAATGAAGTCACTCCCAAGGTTCACCCTTCAGCCAAAGATTAGACAGGCCCATAAAACAAAATGAGACTAAAGGGGCACACCAGCCCAGCAGCAAGGACTAAAGGCAGGAGGGGACAGGAAAGCTGGTAATAGGGAACCCAAGGTCGAGAAGGGAGAGTGTTGACATGTCATGGGGTTGGTAACCAATTTCACAAAACAATATGTGTACTAATTGTTTAATGAGGGGCTTGTTTGTTCTGTAAACCTTCATCTAAAGTACAATAATAAAAAATAATAATAAAAATAAAGATGGGCATATACTTATATGACAATGAATAAAGAAGACTGAGAAAGAATTGATGCAATTTGAAACATGGTGTTGGAGAAGAATATTGAATATACTATGGACTGCCAGAAGAACAAACAAATCTGTCTTGGAAGAAGTACAGCCAGAATACTCCTTGGAAGCGAGGACGGCAAGACTTTGTCTCACTTTGGACATGTTATCAGGAGGTACCAATCCCTGGAAAAGGACATCATGCTTGGTAAAGTAGAGGGTCACCAAAAAAGCAGACCTTCAATGAGATGGATTGACACAGTGACTGCAATGATGGACTCAAACATAGCAAAGATTGTGGGGATGGCACGGGACTGGGCAAAGTTTTCTTCTGTTGTAAATAATGTCACTGTGAGGTGGAACTGACTCGACGGCACCTAACAGCAACAACCACACAATGCAGGATATTCAAGAATATTCATAGCAGTTTTATTCATAACATCAAAAACTGTAAATACCCCACATGTTCATCAACATATAATTATATCAACCAATTATGGCATATCCAAACAACAGTACACTACTCAACAATAAAAAGGTGCAAATTATTGATATAAGATTAAATGTGGATGAATCTCAAAAATGATATGCTGAATAAAAGAATCCTTACTCAAAAAATTAATTACTGAATACGAAAAAGTTTATTGAGTGGACTATACCTCAAAAATAAAATAGATAAGTGGGGGTGGAGATGTTGCATTCAAAATTGGGAGAGCATAAAACGGGGATGGAAGATTCTAGAATATACATCTATAGATGCTTCTTGATCTAAGAAGGCTTTCTATTATCTTCATGACCTCAAATCTTACAAACAAAAGTATGCAGAATATTCTATGTCATCATGTCAATTTATATAGTTTGACCTACACCACAGAGATGTCATATTTCAGAATTGCCCAGGTTAGTACTGTACACTTATGTCATGTCTAACCTCTAACCAGGAGTGGATGTTTCAGGAGCAGCTGAGAGAGAAGACTCCCCTGGATCTCCTCATTCTTTATCACCTTTGTTACATGCAAGATGGCCAGTCAGCATGAGGATTTCTAGTAAGGCAGCACAAGTTCATAATCAGGCTCGTGGGTGCAGGAAGAACGTCTGGAAACACAAGCTGTCCTGAGAAGGGCATATTCTGTTGCCGACCCATCTCTGAATTCTCTCACTCTGTTTGTGTTGGAGTCAATGTTCTCATAACCATCATCGTTGGAGCTCAGGGAGGACGTTTGATAGCGGCTATGATGAATAATGGTATAGCAAACTTCCTCCAAACCGTTGTTATCCTCATTATCCTGCCAAGCACAAGGAGAAAAGAAATCAAGGAAAAGAATCCATCAAAAATGAACTCAGTGCCCCATCTCTCCTTCTTTCTATGTCCACAGATAGAGCCCTGGTGTCTCAGAGACTTCATTGTAGCCCTGTGTCCCATGCTCCACGCGACCACTCATTCTGCTTTTATTTCACCTCAAAAGAATAAAAGAAGAAAGAATGACACATTTCTCTGAACATCTAGAGAAAAGTAGCCATACGCTTTAGGTCATACATATTGATAAGAAATATATGCAATGATCAGAACTCAATAAGTAACTAAGTTACATAAAAATACATGTTATAAGATAAAATGCTATTAATAAAATTTAGAGTTTAGCCACCTTTTCAACTCCATAGGTAGTCAAAGAAAGAAAAATAAAAACACCAAGCTATTATATGCTAATTAAATAATTAAAATGATTTTGGTGTAGTATTAAAAAGAAGCAACGTTTTTTCATATTATTGATTTCAACCATGTTTATTTACATAAATACAAATACTAGTATGTGGACACAAAAATTGGAAGGGAATGTGAAAAACTAAGGAGTCCATGTTTTATGGTGATGGGATTATGAGTGCAGACATATTTGATTTAACTTGTTTTTGTTATAATAGTTGTTGAAAATTACAATATGTGACTTCAGTGATATTGGGAACTTGCTAGATATCAAAATCAGTTAAAATACCTTTTAATTTGTGATTTTACTCCATTTTTCATAAAAATTAACAAGTAAATTATTTAAAATATGAAATACTTGTATAAATCCATTCAGGAATTATAAACAAAGAAAGACCTACAGCTACTCTTGAAGAACATTGTCTGTATTTTGGTATTTATCAGAAATATATAATAAAATTTTTATTACCTGATTAGAAGTAGACGAAACTTCTTGACCTGGAGGAAAAAAAAAAAATAAAGACACCAACATAAGATTTTCGGACTGTGACAGACTGGGGGAAAGGTTGAAAAGACTGCATGCAGAGGTAAATTATAAACAGACCCATCACCTGAACTTCTGACTCCCTGGCAATATTCTAGCCATATTAGATCCATCACGTAAATGAACACATGCCAAGTCTGTAGAACAAAGTGGATTTTGGAACTAGGTAATACAATTTTTTCAACAAACATGGGATGACAATGAAGTATGCTAGTGTAATTATAGCTGGAAATTTAAGAAACAATTTCTATAAAAATATCACCAAAAAATCAAGTACTTCAAGATGAACAACCATTATAAAGATAGGTACAGAAATAACAAGCATTACTAAGTATTTTAAATTAAAGACGTACGCACTCAGGTTGATTAAATTCATGAATACTGAAGTAATTTTGTTGTCGTTAGTTACTGCATCTAAGAGTAGGGAATTTTGCAATCAAGTCATCTCACCCTGCTCACTGCACCAATTGTACAAACCAGTCCAGGGACACCAAGATCATGCATCTCTGATGCCAAATTGTATGGTGGATATCATATCCCACTCCACATGCATTGTTTGGAAATCTTGGCTTCCGTTTCCTGGCTAGTTAAGACCCCAGCTACCCATGCAGCCCTTTTAGCTCATCTCTAGACATTTAAGGCTAGGTAATCTCATCCCTAGCCATCTGGGGCTAGATCAAAGGGTGCCAGCTTCAACACAGTGGTCCATATAACTCCCTGAGCTCCAGACCACCCAGCCCCAAACTTCAGGGCTTTCCTTTAACCCTTCAGGGTCCTAGTCTTTAAACTCAGAAGTTCACTTGTTACCTCCACTTTAGACTAGCCAGCTCCACTACTTCCTTTAGATCTGGTAATTCACTGGAAAGACAGAGCTTATGGAAACACCATATTTGCAATAACTTTAATAATAGAGAAGCACATAAACACAGCCCATTGTCATCGAGTCAATTCCAACTCATAGCAATCCCCTAGGACAGAATAGAACTGCCCGGTAGGGTTTCCGAGAAGTGGCTGGTGGATTCGAACTGCCAGGCTTTTGGTTAGCAGCCGAACTCTTAACCACTGTGCCACCAGGGCTCCAATATATAACCAAAGATATAAACAGAAATGCATACTGTGAGGTCCAGGAGAGGTCCCTGCATAAACTCAACATCTCAAAG